CGTGGAAAAAAGAAAAATGTTGTAATAAGCTGTATTTATAGAGCACCTGGAGCCTGCATAGAAAAATTTAATGACTGGATGGAGGAGAACTACTCGACAATAAGTCATAAATTAATGTTCATATGTGGTGACTTCAATATAGATTTGTTAAATCCTAAACAATCACTTAGGAACGGAGGAGTTTATTAACACAATATATAGATGCAGTTTATACCCCAAAATTACAAAACCAAGTAGATTAACAACGCAGCATGCGACACTAATAGATAATATATTTACCAATGATATTGAAAGCAAAATGACAAGTGGATTACTTATAAATGATATTAGTGATCATCTACCAGTATTTTTGGTTTATTTTAGAAATTAGAGGCCAAAAACAAATTTTTTCTTTAGGAGGGTGATTAATGAACAAGCTGTAAGGAGGCTTAAGGAGGACTTAGGAGGGCAGGACTGGAAAACAGTTTACAGAGAGGAAGACTTAGACAAAGCATATGAACAATTTCCTTAAATATATTTAAGGAAGTATATGACAGGAACTGTCCTTGTAAGCAGTATAAAAACAAAAGGAATTACAGTGGGAAACCGTGGATAAGTAAGGGATTACAGAATGCATGTAAAAAGAAGAATGTGTTATATAAGGAATTCATAAAGGACAGATCAAAGAAGGCGGAAGAAAAATATAAGTCATATAAGAACAAATTAACTGAGATTTTGAGGAGATGTAAGAAACTATATTACTCTAAAATATTAGAGGATAATAAAAATAACATGAGAGGTACTTGGAATATATTAAATAAATTGATCAGAAACAGTTCTAGAAAGTGTAACTACCCACAATATTTTATGGATAATGATACACCGGTTAATAGATTGGAGGATGTAGTAGATAAGTTTAATAGGTTTTTTCTGAATGTTGGTCCTAGTTTAGGAAGAAGCATTTGTACAGATGATACATCCGTCACTATAAATAATAGTACAATCGAAAGGAACATGAGTTCTATGTTTTTGAAGCCCATAGTTGAAAAGGAAATTATAGAGATAGTGAATAAATGTG